AGAGAGAGAGAGAGAGAGAGAGAGAGAGAGACAGACAGACAGACAGACAGACAGAGAGGGAGAGAGAGAGCGTGAGTGTAACTATGTTATGTGCTTGTTTGCTTGTCTTTTTATGGTAGCAACAAGCAATGCCAATCCACAGAACGACGAAGGTTGTAGGTTCTCCCAATCTTCCTTTGGTCTTACTCCCGCCCTCCATGTACTATGTCCAATTGTCCTGTCTCTTACATACAAGACCTGTTAATTATATATTTATAATGGCAGATCCAGGATGTTACAAACTTTTAAGGGATTGATTATGTAACAAGGGAGCACACAATTGAGAGAGGATAAGAGAGAAAAATAATTTAAGTTTCAACTACTACTTTTTAAAGCATTTCAAATCCAAGTCTATAAACTCAGGGAAGCCAAGAGGGGAAGGTAAGTGGTCTGTAAATATCAATTTTCCCCATCTTTTACTATTTCATTTTTTCTCTTTAATATATTTGAATCAAATCACAATGTTGCATCACACTAAAATTTCTTACCGTTCCAAAAATCTAAATATGTACAGTGTTTACAAGCCAGGGTCCTAAACCCACCATAGTCTGATCAATTGATCCTACCACAAAGAAAAAAAAATGGTTTTGGCAGAGTAACTCTTGAAAGGATTGCTGGACTAAATTCATATGTAATTGAGTAAACCTAACATAACAGGCCAAGTATTGTTTTGGTTACAATTAAACTATCTTTTGACGAGTTACCCTTGGGGATTGATATTAGATTTTCATCCTCTAGGTGTGTAACATCAAGGTTCAATAAGGATTCTCAGCTAAGAAAAAAAATCAAAAGCTAATTAATTTAACATTGCTTTGGATGACTTATCTTTCACTATTCATAGGTAAATAAAACTCATTTAATTTCAGGCTCATATTTACTCTCATATAAATATCACACAAGAAATGCCTATGAGGAATCACATAGCATACTTCTTCCTAACATAGGAAAAAACAAAGTGAAATCAAATGTTTAAAAATGAAATCATGAGAGATGCCAGCTATCTTTTTTAGGTTACCCTTTCTTTAATATTAATTGTTATATCATCTATGATACTCTTTAATGTTACCAGAACATGAACACTGTACAAGGTATGCTGGTACACCTATTCTCAGCTGTGAATTATGATGGTGAATGGTTGATAGAAATGCATTGTACTTATGAATATTAACAATCCTTTGTATTTCACAGAACGTATCTTACAAGTTCAAAGTTAATAAAAAAAATATTGTATTTAAGGATCACAGAATATTAGCTATCATATAATTACTGAGATCCAGACTAAAAGACATGAGAAATGGTATTGTCTTCCAACACCAAATGACATAGGGCCAGCACATACAACTGGGATCCTAACACTAAATGTAACCCAAGTACAGTCGGCTACTGAGCACCTGACTGGACATTCTAGACCTCTTAGTATTATCTCTTTTAATGTGTCCTTTTCCATTCTGGTCCAACAGCTGATCTCTTGATATTTTCATCAGTCTGAATTGTATTCATGAAATACTCGACATCTGTACTAATCATGAGCTATTTCTTGAAGTGATCAAAAGTATTTCCATCTTCCTATTGACAAAATCTTGAATACCTAAGACATTTTGAAGGAACAAGGATATGGAGTTTTTAGTCAAGGCTTCCTCTTCTGATAGACATTATATTGAGCTTTACAAGTAAATTTACCTGAACAAGAGAGTGAAAGTTTCCAGGCTTGCAAGAGAAATGATCAGGACTTCAAATCAACAGTCAAGCCATTCACTTTCTTGTCACTTTATCAAAATCAAGCATTAGTGACTTAAAAGGAACCAAAGCACTAGACTGCACTTAAGTATAAAAAGCATTATTCTTGTGTTCATTTGCTGAAAGCTTTGTTGAGGCTTCCAAACAATTGTTTTCCTTTTTTAGGACATGAGAATACAATGTTGAAGATCTGAGTTGCCAAGATCTACCATTCTTACCCTATCATAACTAATGCCTTGTTCAGGAGACTCAAAAATCCCTTGCAACACATATAAGATACATCCACTGACACAATACATACATACATCTTGGTTAGAGGTATTAACAAAGGAAATCCTGGTTGGTTTCCTACTACACCAGTAGGTTCAGACATCGGCTACCTCAAACATAAAGAGGCATTAATCAAACAAAAGAAGTTAATGTACTTCAAGTTTAATTAAAAATTGGATAAGTCAAATCTTTGAAATTTATTCATCAGAAATAGACATTTATTTAGATGAATAATAATAAAAAGGAGCAACATCAACACTGCCTTTAATTCTATCTAAATCTATTTTCCTTTTAAAAAATCGGCCTCAACTCTGAAGAACAATTTTTCATTTCTGTAAACTCAATCAATGCATTTCCTCTTGAATGAAATGCAGTGACATGACAACATCTGCTATTAAAAGGCATAATGACAAAAATACAGACTGAGAGAAAGCAACAGAAAATATCTAAAAACAAAAACAAATAAAGGTATAATATTAATGATAACAAAAAAATAATAATAATGATAAAAAAATAGGTTGTCAGTGACATATTCTCGGTTGATAAGAGATGCAAAAAATGCTGGAACATGTTTACCTAATAGAAATGAGACCTGATTGCAAAAGCTTCTGAATCTTGGCTGCAACATCAGGATTCTTCAGGTGACTGCAAAGAAAACAAAAATATCAGTAGGAGCGAGAACATATACTACCAACCCCTACGATCTGGATGATGTGACCCTCTCGTCAAAGAAATTTGGCTTGAGGGGCTTGCCATGAAGTCTCGGAGGGTGATTACCCTTAATGGGCAATTATAAGGGATCTCGCATTATTTCCATCGATAAACAAGTAGTGAACGTATATACACCATCTGTGAGCCATTACTGGAGAAAGAAAGATAGATAGATAGAATGAATGAATGAATGAATGAATGAGAGAGAGAGAGAGAGAGAAGAGAGAGAGAAGAGAGAGAGAGAAGAGAGAGAGAGAAGAGAGAGAAAGAGAAAGAGAGAGAAAGAGAAAG